ATAGAACTGATCACAGTTGGGACGTGTTGGCATTAAAATGGTAGTCAAATAATTTGGCAAGACTCAAATGATGGGAACCAAGATTAGAAAAGAGAAGAAAGAAAAAGTGCATTGAAATTTAATCCGATAAACACCTGAAATACAAACTATATTCATATAATTTATATTAATTTGACATTAAAAGAAATCTGGCTCTGTTACTTTATTTTACTGAAAGGACTAGTAAGAATGAAGCTGGTTAAAGTATATATATATATATATATATATATATATATATATACATACAGAGAGAGAGAGAATCAAGAATAAACTGCAAATATTTCAAACCACCGTCCACATCATTGTAACAAGTATATATGGTGTGAAGTGACCAAAATTTTTGTTCTTTTTTGTCTTTTTATCAGACAACATATGTTGATTGATATATTTAAAGGAACATTTTATTTTAACAAAAGTAGGCTATTTATATATATATATATATATATATATAAAATGGTGATGTCATTTGTTTTTTTTACCTGAATATGATTGATCTTATGTATGAAATTTAATTTTTGCTATTTCTTTAATATTTGAGTGAAATAGATCTATCCATTCTAGAACTTTACAATTTCTGTGCTTTTATTTTTTACAATAGAAATAAGAGGAAAAAAAAAAAATCTTATCCTAACTTTATCAAGATAACCAAATAAAGTAGAATTTAAAGAAATATGAGTAGATTTTTTTAGTCTTTTAATAAGGTTTGCTTCAAGAATTTAGTAAACTTTTCTAGAAAGACATAAAAAGAAAAATAGTTTTATTGCTCCAAGATGGGAAAGCATGGTCGCTTTACATAAACAACCCTTAGCCAAATTCGTTGCATTTTTATGATATATTAGTTGTAGAAGGTGAGATTTAACTAAACTCTTTAAGTTTTTCGATGACATTTCTTTTACAAAGTCAAAGTGATTGACATGTAATAAATCTATTTCAGACACGACTGTAGGACATTAGAAGCCAAGTTGCTTATTTTTTTTATTATACACAAATAATTATTGTATTTGTTGGGGACTTCCGAGTTTCTATTTTCTTTACTAAAGGGCAACAAACTTAAAAGGTACATAAAAATGAACTCAGCTTTTGTCGGCTAAGCTTGGTTTAAAAATCTGAGGGGGCCAGTACTATAGTCAGACAATATTTGTATAGGGGAGGTGGGGAGATTGTCTGATGGGTATTTACTATAGGAAACGATATTTGCATAAAGAAAAAAAAAAATCAAAGAAAGCATTTTGTTTTTTAAATAATTTATTTTTCACTGTTACTCTCATAGGACAAACAAATATATATATATATATATATATATATATATATATTCTGTCAATAATAGATAAAAGGGGAAAAAAATGAAACTTTGCACTGTTGACTTGTTGGATACAGACAGGTGTACACATTAAAGGAATAAGCTATTTTATTTTTGATGTTGGTATACAAGCAGAATAAATAGATAATTTTTACTTATTTTTTCTCATTTTGCTATAGATATCTTGCACACGCACATATATATATATATATATATATAATTGGCTTAGTCTGGCACAGAGCTATAAGTGTAGGCTACTCCATGAGTATACAGTCAAATGGATGAGCAAAACTTGCTTGCTATCCCTCACTCAATGTCAGGTGCCCTTTATACTAGCAAATGGTCTTTGAGATTGTATTTTTTTTTTTTTTTTTTTTTTTTAACCAAACACTCTAAAGAATGATGATCAAGAGTGTTTAATATTTACTAAGCTTAGCTTAGTGTGGGGTACCCAGTGACGATCAAACTCGTTATAGTAGTAATGACTTGCTTGCTAATCATTACTTCATGATGAGGCATCCACTATATTGGATTCGCCTGAGCTATCAAGGAAATATTTATGACTAGCATTTTGAAAAAAAAAAAAAAAAATCCTAAAAAGAAAGTAATCCAAATTTAAACTGAGAGTGAAAAAAAAAATACCAAATTTGAACTGAAGGAAAAAAAAAAAAAAAGTGGCCAAATATTAACAATAATTACAAGAAAACAAAAATGGATTTTTTTTTTTACATACATATATATATATATATATATATATATGAAAAAAAAAGTTAATGTTAGATGCAGGTAAGCTGTTATTATGACTGGACGGTAGTCAGTTTGAGTTTTTTTTTTAAATTTTTTTCTTCACAGTTGAGCAACAACAAACCAGCTAGAAGTTTAGCTCGCCTGTTGTCTGTACACTAGTGATTTTTTTTTTTTTTTTTTTTTTTACATGAAAGCAAAAAAGTTGGCAGCAAAGACAAACCAAACATCAGGGGATTGGGCAGGAAAAATACAAATAACCAAAATGGATGCTGCAAGTGCTGCCGTCATGTGATCGTTGACTACTAACTGATTGGGTGTTTGTTGGTCTGGTCTTATCCTCTAAATGAATTCTGTAGCACCTGTTGGGAACCTCATAAACTAGCTACAAACAAATCAACAGGACAATGAATTCCACTGTACACCATTATTAAGTTATATACATTCAACAGTTGTATTTGTTTAAATTGTTTTGTTGAGGGGGTGTTTTTCGGGGGAGGGGTTAAATGTTGCATATGCATGTGTGTGTGTGTGTGTGTGTGTGTGTGTGTGTCTTTTTTTTTTACCCTGATAAAAAAAAGCCAAGTATTCCAGGGTTTTGTGTATTTTTTCTTTTCTTTCAATTTTTTTTTTATAATTCAATTTTTAAAAATTTTTTTTTTTTTTTTTTTTTTTTTTTTTTAGAATCCATATCACATTTAATACGTTCCACACAATGGCTTTTCTCTCTTCAAAGAGAGTTTCAAAATACCTAGATTAAAACAAGAGGTATAAAGTCTTTGAGAATTTGGCCAGGTTTCTAGATACATGGACTCTGCACAAGAAAAAGTGTGGGTCAGTGTATTTTTATTTTTCTGGAAGAAGAAACATTTTTTTTTTTTTTTTTTAAGAAAGTGGCCATTATTTTTTTTTCTTACCAGCAGTTACACATGTACAGCAATATTTATTACTATCTTTTGTATGGAATGTCTAGGAGTTCCCCTCTGTGAAGCATCAAAAATAAGATGCAATATACTTGGCACATAATTGTTTTTTTTTTTTTTTTAAATTTGTTTTTGTTGTTTTATTTGTCTTTATATTTGTTTCTGCACCCGTCCCTCTCCATTTTTTTCCTTCCTTCCTTCCTTCCTTCCCTCCCTTCCTTCCTTCCCAAATTGCTGTTACAGATGTCTTTTGTCTATTATATCTTTTGGTGTGATTGTTGTAGCTGATACATTGTTTTTTTTCCATGAACACCATTCATCAATTTAAAAAAAAAAAAAGTTTGTTTCTATATAATTTTCTTTTTTTTTTTTTTACACAATATTTTAGCCAGTGGTGCCTACCACCACTACCATATCATCATCATCACTCTTGTGGCAAAATTTACACACAAATAACCCAGGATGAAGTGTGTGAATAATTATTATATAGATGTTGTATTGTAAATATAGTATTTAATCAACTGAAAAAGTACTCAAAGCGAAGCCGGAAGGAATAGGAGACACACTGGTGGTAGAAAGGGACATCGATTTGGGAACAAAGGAAAAGATTTTGGGGGTGGAATAAACTAGTTATTAATAAAATAGGGAAATATCTCAGAGTTTAAGGGAAAGATATTACAAAAAATGTTATGATTTTCTTTTTTTTCTAACTTTTTATTTTTTTTTAAATTGCATATCAGCAGATCTCCTCCTTAGCAAACTGTTTGATTAAAAAATTGATCATATATAATAGTGATTTTTACACATGCACACAAAAAATATATATTGGCAAGTTTTTAACTTGCTTTTTTTTTTTTTTTTTTTTTTTTGTGGTGTCATGAATGAAGCTCAAGTATTTTTAGGGTTGAGAATTAGATTTTACTAGGTAAATATGGTCATGGATAGAGGAAGTAGGGTACTGAGGTGAGAGGGTTGTTTGGAGTCTAAGTGACTGGGAGGAAAAGTGGGAGGGTCAATCTTGTGAATATTCCAACTAAAATAAAAGTATTTTTTTTTTTTTGTAAGCACAGAAACAAGAACAGAACAAATAGCCAGGTGTGTTGTTTGCAGTTAGATTTTTTTGTTTTTACCAGCAGTTGGGAGTTTTTCAATTTTTTTTTTTGTTTTTTTTTAATTATTAAAAAAAAAAAAAAGAAAACAAAAATGTCAGTTTGGTGCTTCCTTGATGAAATTCTAAGTTTTGGCTTACATTTTATCAAAACAATTTACAATTTTAAGCATTTTCTCCCCCCACCCCATCATCAATTTTACCGATTCCTGTTAATCTGAAGACTAAAAGCATTCTTGTAAACATTTACCAAGTAAATAGAAGTAGGGGTTTTGGATGTTTTTTTTTTTTGTTTTTTACTCACCTCCCCACCTAACCAAACTCTGACTTCTCACCTCAAAAATTTATTTGTTACTTGACAAACTATTTCTGGGGAGTTTCTTCTTTTTTTTTTTTTTTTTTTTTTAATCTTACTTCAAATTTGGAAGCACCATAACTACATTTCATCAAGGATTTTTCATTTTCTTTTTTCTTCATTACCAATACCATTACATACACACAAACATGTATATTTATATATATATATATATATACATACATACATACATACACGCGATCACACTCTCTCTTACATGCATATATATATATATATATATATATATATAGCAGAGTTTTTTCTGATTTTTTTTGTCTTCTTTTTCATATACATATAAATATACATGTAAATTTATATATACACTTTATTTTTTTTTTTTTTTTTTTTCTTGGCAAGAATAGGAAGTAATAACAGCCATCCAATGTCGATGAAGTCGTGCAACAGGGGAAACAAAAGATTCTGCCATCCAGTTGGTTGACAGCATCTTCCTTGCATGTGGAAAGTTTTCCAATATTGGTGACACACTGGTGTTTTGACGACACCTGTAAGTAACATGTACTATTTACAGGACTATCGTGATAAGAGGGCCCACCGGCAGACATGAATTAGAACAAATAACAGAGTCCATGAGTAGCGAGGAAAAGCAGAACTGTTGATAAGACCCATGTTCTTCGGACCAGTGGCATTTATTTCAGAGTTTTTGTTTCCAATATCAGGATTGTGCTTGTGATCTGGAGCTAGGGAGAAAGAAAAAAAAAAATGAAATCAAAAGTTTAATTAGATGAAAAATTATGAAATGCAGTGTTAATTTGTAAAGAAAGAAAAAAAATGATACTTTCAGAATACAAAGGTTTTATCCAGAAAAATCCTTTTCCTAAATTGTAATCAAAAGTTGTATATTATTTTAACAAGTTATTTGTGTGTAAATAATAAAACCCAATATTGTTTGAATCAACCAAAGGTAGATAAAAAAAACCAGTACCAACAACATTCAAATTTATTCTCATCAAAACAAGAAACATTATTTGTTCTCTTTCCTTAAACTATAGAATTGCAGACCTAAAACATGTATATCATTAAATATTGAAGTAAAAAGAATAAGATATCCTGATTTATCTATATGAATAAATGTGAAATTGCAGCTCAATTTTGGCATGAATTTTGAGGTTAAAAGGTGCCAACTTTATAGTAATTTATGTGGTGTTTACTCATTCCACCACGAGAATGAGATGTGACACACGGTCGGATTAATGTGGGGACCCGAGTGTGTACACTCGGGCAGGGACAAAAATTCCGCTCACCCCCCACAACTGTTGGTTGCGCTGGCCTTGGTGCGAGCACCGATCCCTTCCTCTCATGCAATGGGAGGGCATAGCCTCGGGCAGCTGTTCCCCAGGGCTGGGCACCTCTTTAGTATAATTTTCCTAAGTTGCCCCTCTGTCTTCAGACAGAGAAGCCCCTGAGCACACTCTGTCCAAGGACGGAGACGCAACTGAGAGATGATAAATAATGCGTACAAATTACTTTATAGTAATTTATATGCTAATAGTGATTTTCCGAGCATAGCTCAGATGTGGCACAAGGCCGAATGTAATGGGAACCCAGTGAGTATCAAACTCACTACTCAGTTATAATTGTTCTGGTGAGACAAGCTTGCTTACACTGCCTCGAGGTGCCCCTGTAATTTATGCACCAAAAACACAATATCTGAGTTATATATTATCTACTTCTCAGCAATATCACTTTTCAGGTTTACCTAATTTGCATATTGATTTTAAATAGGTATATTTCATTAATTAATTGTCCTTCATTACTCTTCTTTTATGCAATATGTTTTTGATTTTCATATCAAAAATAGTTCTGTTTAGGAATATTATCTTATATAGTTCAGGAAAGTGTTTGAAATTTGGATTTTACTTGGTCTTCAACATGTTGTAAATCTTTCCTTAACTATAACAGGCCTGCTCCCACACCTGACCAATTAATTTCTTCTGTCTTTACAGTCATATTCTTTAAAAAATGTATTGAATGTCCACCATCCCTTCAACATCTTATAAATAGTGAAGAGTGAAAAACAACTAATTTTTTTTAGAAAAATTACCAGATAGTGAGCAGGTGAAGCCTGCTAGTTTCTAATAATTTTGATAGAAAATACTTCCTGGCTTTTAAAATTTTATATCAATCTTATTATTGACTAATGTCCTCATCTTTATTGCTATATTTCAGCCATTGCACTCTCCAGTGTCTATTGATCCAGGTTGATTCCATGAAGGAATTTCAAATTGAACTCTTTTTATTTAATGTGCAGGGATAGACTGTTCTTGTTCTGCTGTTCATATCTAGAGATATCTTGTTCTTTTTAGTACTGATCAGTTATGTTTCCAACAAGTGTGAAGGAACTGATAATAACAAGAAAGATGAGGACATTAGTCTGAATATAAATAATGATAACTCCTAATTTCAGAAATTCAGACTGAAACTGAATGCTGTAGTTATCTTTGCTTAGAACTGAATTGTTTGTGAAATAAAGTCTTTTTTATTTCCAGTTTGGTATCAGAAAAAAAAGAATGAGTTAAAGAATATGAACAGTTCAAAAGATATTAGTCTTTGAACAGTCCACTTAATTTTCCCTCACAGAGAGAAACTGTGTTGAATAATGTCAATGGCTCAGTTGTCATCCTTTAGCTTGCAAGTAGAGACTGATTACTTCCGCTACTAAAGTCCTCAAATTTCAACAAATCTGCCACAAACCAGGCCAAAGAGGAAACAGCAAATCTCTCTTCTCAGCTATAAAATGGAGGTTGTGAGCAAAAGCCACCAGTGAAAGAATTCATGTTGCCACAGTTACTTTAAAATTTTATTTTTTAAATGGCATATCAATTTTTTTAAGGCAATGGTATTTCCGGAACCACTTGTTTCCAATCCATCCTTGCTTCAAGATTAAATGAAAATGTAAAATATTCATTTTGTAATCTCTGGCTTATGTAGATGAAAAATTTAATTTTAGCTTATTGTTAACCTTGATATCACAGGTAGGATTTATTAAATAAGTTAAAATTTTCAGAGTGATAGAGCTAACAAAACTGTCTACAAAATATAAACATAAAATCAAAAAGTTGATCATGTAATTATATCTTTTTTTTTTCTACTGGAAAACTTATGGAAAATATAAATTTCAGGGGCATGCCTGGAAATTTTAAAACATTAAATTTTGGCATCACATCACTATAGAAATTTTTTTTTTTTTTTTGTTCATGGAAGAAATTGAAAGTCATTCACAAAACTCTGAAGTATCCAAATGCAGGATCTACTCACTCCTATTGGAGGAACCCCTCCCTGATTGACTGTGTCTTCAGGGATGCAGCTGTATTCACCACACTTAGCCAATTGCAGGTTGGTGAAGCTTTAGTTCAAGTAACATGATTGGTTAAAATTGGAATTTGATGAGTAAAGCATCAATATTTTGCCTTGACTCAAACCCATGTTGTGTATTGAAAATCAAGTAATGATGTACAAACACAATGGTGGTGTTGTATAATGGCTGGCTACTCATTTCCAAGTATGCCCATCTGCTCGAGTGGTGAGCTATCCCTTGTAGCAGACACCTGTTCAGGCACATTTGTGTTTCTTCAAAATCCCACAGAGCAAACTTGTGGTTTAAACTGCAACTGCTTTGAGCAGACCTTAGTTACAGTTTCTTGGAGAGAGTACATCATCTTCTGTGATCAACAAATTTGAACAAGGCCAGGATCCTCAAATACTCAGTCAAAATTTTTAACTTCATGCTATCAGAAACATTGATGGGTTCCAAACAGTTTTATATGCCTATTTCACTCACAAGTTTTACGTAAACTAAAGGTAGGATTTTTGGACACTTCCCAACATTGCCACACACTGGAATCATATTTCCAGGCTGATATTATGAAGAAGTCACCTCCTTAATAAATTAACCCTGGTCAAATGATTGGAACACTAATATTCAAATCACATTTTATATATATATATATATATATATATATATGTGTGTGTGTGTGTTTGTTCTGTTGAATGTGATGGAGAAGGAAGTCTAATTTATTTAGTTTTTCTAGTATTCATGTAGAGATAAGAAAAATCCTTGTAGATAATAGTCTCATCTACAAGGGTTTTTCTTATTATTAAGTATTCTTAATACTGTCATTTTAAAACCATTTAATTGTAAAAGATATTGGAACCATTTTTTATAAAAGACTACAGACTTAACTTTATTTGTTTGAAACACATTAGGTATACTTTGTAGGCACCACAATATGGAATTACTACTACTTCTATATAACACAGAATACAAACAAAAATATACTAACAAACTCCTTGAAAATGGCTGAAGAATTAACCAAAAACTCTTGGGATGATGTTTCTCCTTGCTCTTGGTACTCATAAAAGAAAAATTGTAAGGAGACTTGAAAAACTGAATAATATTCTAAGACCCTGTCCATCATTTTCAATGAAACATGTATAAAAGAATGGCTGCTGCCCAATGCACACACAACATGAAAATGTGGGAATAAAAGATACATTTATACTCTTGCTCTGGTTTTGTATTTATTTGCATGCAATATAGAAAAGAAATTTGAACAAATTAAATAATTTATATTTCTTTAATAAGGGTTACATAAAAAAATGCTAAAACTTATTTAATATTATTCTTACCAACAACCTCTGTGTCAAAGCTCGACTGGTGTTTTCTTGTGGTTGTCCTAGTGGTAGTGGTTGAGCGCCTTGTCGTAGTCCAGGGACGAGTGGTGGTAGTAATTCTTCTGGTTGTGGTGCTAATTCTTTTTGTGTAGCTCATTGGCACTAGAGAAATAAATAAGTCACACATCAGACCTTGTTAAATTAATTTATTCATTAGTTTAATTAAAAACCCAACAGGTTTTATTTTTACTAAAACAATTTAAAAAAAAAAAAGTGGAATTTAAATATTACAATAAATTTTAGGATTTATAAAAACTTCAGTTTCTAATTAAAGGATGTTATAAAGTTAGGTCTTTAAAGAGTGAATTTATTGCAAAGTTAAATTAAGAATGAGTTATAAAATCTCTTTGATAGCCGGGAACAAAATTTATGATTGGATATTTTGTTAGGAGTAGAGAACAAATGAAAAATAAAAATAAAACATACATGTTGTGCGTTTCCCAACAGTGTATTTTGGGCTGTTGTCATCTGAAGCAGTTGTTGTTGATGAACAGCATACCTCTAGCTGTAAACGCATACCTCTGTGTTTGCAGGCGCCACCCCACTGGTTGGCAATACCACTGTAAGGACCCTCAGAGGTTGCTAGAAAGGAAATAAGGCAAATGATATTAATTTTTTTTTTCTTTTTAAATTTCAACAATAATACAACATTTCGATTTTAATTCTATCATTGTATAAAGATGATTTTATATCAAAGGAATGCATCTTTTCTTTAAAATGATGTGTAATTTTAACTTCTAAAATTTTAATACTCTGTATAGCTTTAGTCTCTAATATACTTAGCCTGTAATTTGGCCTGTATGTAGGATTGAAAGTTTTTTTTGTTTTCAAACAGCCTTCAATATTAAATTATTATAAGATGATGTTATTTTCATGAAGCCAAGAACAGACAGTTTTGCAGTTGTAGATGCTCACCTGAGAAAGTTTTAAAAAAAAAAAAAAAAAAGAGCCAAACTGTCAAAAATAATGCCAAATTGGCAGAAAGTCATGGACAAATGTGTTCTAACATACCTACGGACGATAATGGGCATGTACCCATTCACATAAATGCAGTAGTAAATACTGTATATGGGTCTGCAGTTGGAATTCACTAGACTCACTTCTAGAAGTGACATAGTATTTAAAATACCTTAAAGTACCTTGACAGATACCATTCCAAATATTAACACTAATTTATAGTTGAAACATTCAAGTAGGAATTGTGGCCAGTTCACCAATCAACACTTGATCCATTGGTAAAAAGGGTGTGTTCCACCCTGGAACAGACTCCAAGGTTGATGCTACCCTAAACACCACAATCTTAATCTCTTCAAGTCTAGGGTATCCATCCACCATATCCTCTTTATCATCTTCACTACCTATTTCTTCCTCTTATATTCATATCACACACATTCAGTATTTCTCTTCCATGAATGGCTTTTGAGCCTTGTATTGGTTGAATTTTAGTAGTCTAGACACATTCATCTTAAAGAGAAGAAACTTTATGCATTTAGCAGCAGAGCTACATGATCAGCCTCACTTTGATTGACTAGTAATATAAACGGTAGCGTTGACAGAAATCCAAGGTTTTATTTTTATTTCCTTTCTCTTTCAAAAGGAAAGGAAGTTAGAAAGAATTAACTGTTCTGTATCAAAACCCCATCAGTTGACAGCACATGACTTTTCCAAGCAGTGTTATCAGCATTTATCTGCTCTTTGCAATTCATCTTGCCTTATCTCAGCAAGAAGAATCTATGCTTTAACGGCATCGCCAAAAATAATCGATCACTCTAACTATTCACTTGCACACAAACAGATATAATCAGCCACATACACTCAGCAGTAGGGAAATAGCAGATTAAGATCTGGTCACTTCCCATTCCAAGTGAACAATTTCCTATCAAATTATCTTTACACATCAATACAATTACCATCAATAGGTCATCGGAAAAATGGTTTGACAGTACAGATAATTAATCTTAGTGAATTTAAAAATCTTTATTGACTAATTTGTGTTTAATATCTGAGGTCTATGAAAGCATATATTTGTTCACTCTCTGTTAAGCATACAAAATATATTTTCATTAAGAGGAATCTCTCAAAAATTCAGTCATATGTCTTTTATTTAAATGTGTGTCAAATGTCTTTAGTTTCTCCTTCAAGGTTCATAATTGTCTTTTTTTTCTTTCCATGTTGAAATTATAGGTTTATAACTGTTTATTTGTTACGATTATTTTGATATTTTTTATTGGTATATTCTCTAATTGGTATCAGGTGTGGTTTTTTTTACAAGTATATTCTCTAACTGGTATCAGATGTGCAAACCTGTCAATGCTCTTGGCAGTGTTGGGAGATCAACAGCACCCCCACTGTTCATGACTAGTATTCTCCTGGTGAACAGTAAAGCATTGCTTTTCCACTGAGTCTACCAGTTTTTCTAAGATTCTCTCTACCCAAAACATGCTGCTACCAGTTTGGCTATGGTAGGCCATCTTGCAAGCTATTTAAGGCATGCACATCTCTTGTATTGAAACATAAACAACAGGAATTTTATGTTTATTGAATTTTTTAATCTGACATTATTTTTAGTGGGTAGATGTCTTTGAGTTGCTATCCCTATTTTTTTTATTTTCTTTGGGTATGAAAACTGAGGTTAACAGAAATAGATTTTCAGAAGTACCAATGAGAGATGAATATTCTTTAAATCAGTAATTCAAATCTTGCTCTATTTAGATTCTCTTTGTAAATGAATTGAGCTTTCTCCACTAAAAGAAGGGCTGAGTGAAAATGCTTTGGTTTGAAAACTGTTTCGGGCTATGATTTGTGTAAATGATATTAGAAAATAACACTTTTCCACAATAGATTTATTGAATTGGGATTTATTTAGAATTGAACATTGGCCTGAAATTGCTTAATGTTGGTTTAAAATCCTGTTTCCACGGGAAATAACTGCTGCTAATTCAAAACATGAGGTTTTAGAATTAACATCGTTTTAGCTATTTTTGTAGTCTATCTATCTATCTATCCCTATTTTGGTAAAATCTCCAGGTTTTCAGATTTTTTTTGGTTGACAGGCCTGGGTGTGAGGTTATATTGAAATTATATATATATATATATATAGATAAATAGAGAGAGAAAGAGGGTACCTTGAGGTGGTGTAATGGTTAGCAAGCTTGTATCGCTAGAACATTTACGACCGAGTAGTGAGTTTCAATCCTCACTAGGTGCCCCATACCTTCGGCTGCATCTAAGCTTCGCTTGGAAAATCCCTATATATATATCTATCTTCAGACTAACCTCCAAAACAGAATTTATTAATGAATGTATATTTCTTATTCTGAAAAGAAATGACTAAACTTTTGATAGATTCTTCTTTTATTTGAATTTTTGTGTCATGTATCTTTAGTTTTTAGTCCCACCAATTTAATAAGTCGCCTTTTTTCGTTTTTTTTTTTTTTTTTATTTTGAAATGATCACAGATATTTGCGATGGTTATTTTGATACTATTTTAAAAAAAAAAAAAAATTTTGATACTATTTAAAAAAAACAAAAAAAAAAAAAACGTATGAATTGGCATCAAGCATGTTGAAATTAAGTGTGTTCTGAGACTGTTTTCAAAATAATACTTACTGACAATATAGTAACTCTTCCCCTCTTCGAAATCGGGTACAAAGGGAAACGGTTGGAATTGACGTACGTGAAGTGTAAATAATGTCGTACTGTTTGACTTTAAACATCTGATTAACCGAATTGCATTGTCAGGGTCGTAGATCACACATTCTTCGTATTCGCTTTTTGACACCTGTAGACAAAGAGAGATTAAAAAGACAGATGAAAATATAGTAAGTTACGAGAAAGAAAAGAACAAAAAGAAAATTATGATGATAGCTTCAAGTTCAACGGAGGAAAAAATAAGACAAGGAGCAGGTGACTAAAACTGTCAGTTCGACCTACAGATGTTTTTTGCAGGGTTGTTGTGGAAGTAGTAACATGTCGTTGGTGAACGTTTTTACAAGATACACACTCTTAAACTTTATTTTTTGTTTCGTTGGGACACTACTCGAGAAACTTTATTTGGAGGCATTGAAGAAGATACATCTGGCAACATAAGACTGAAGGGAAGAAAAAAAAGTAAGTAAGCAAGTGTATAATACATGTTGCAATAAAAAAACTTTTTTTTTTTTTTTGTAATTTGATATTCATAAGAGGAAGAAACTTCTATTTTAGAAGTGCTTAATATGGGAGGAAATACAGATTGTTACACACTGAAGTTTTTATTGAAGCGAAACTGTTACTTGCTAGTTGAAAAAGTTTGGTGTTTTTTGTAAGCGTTTGAAGTTAAAAGGCGTTCATTTCCACATACACAAGCTCAACAGAGTGCAAAGAATAGGGCCTGAGGACATAAGGAAAAAAAAAAATGATTAATTCGAAATTTTCTTTTTTTTAAGTGAAAAGAGTAGTTTTCAACACCCAACCCATTTAAAAACAAATTTTTATTTTTTACTTTTTTTTAGGATTTCCTTCCTTTCAGGTAACAACATTCAGTGTTATTAAAAAAATAGGTTCATACTTTTTTTTCCCCTTAAGAGTGAAAATTTAATCGAACATTTAAGTGTTCAATTAAAATTTGCTCTTAACTTTTATACAAGTTTTTTCATGGACATTTTAGAATATTTTTACTGTTTCGGAATTTATTTTCATAACAGTAACGCTTAGACACATGCAGAAGGAAGACGGTCTGGAGAATTTAACACTCACAGGACATATTGAGCAGAGGGCGACAGTAAGTAACATACCATTAGAGTATAGTGATTTTGTGACCAGTTTTTTTTGTTTTTTTTTTCTCTCTCTCGAAGTTGTTAAGTTTAAAAATCATGCATTTTCAGCGGCCGGTTGCACTATACACTGGTAACTTTTTTTTCTGGAGAGGGTTAAAAAAAAATTCATGCCAAAAAATTCAGGGGTTGCACTACATGAAATCGTAGGGTACTTAAAACTTAACGAAAGCGGAAACAGGAAGGATACAGAAGAGAGAAATAAAAACATTACTTTTAAATAGAACTACAAAGGTTAGAAAGTTATGGAGATTTCTCGCCAGTCCTGAAGTGATCACAGCACCTAAAAGAAGAATGCTTAGCCTTAAAGGTGTCACGATTGAGTAATTAATTTATTTTCAGAATAATATTTACAGAAATAAATATTGTTGCACAATTGAAGATACATAAACAAAAAAAGAAATATTTGTCACTATATCATGTGTGTGTATTTAAAAATCAAGGTCTATATTAAACGGTGATTCGTTGCCTCAAATTCCCTCATGTCAGAAACAATTTCATAATAATTTTTAGCATCACGTCACTAAGTGAAATGGAAATTGACAAGCAAACCCCAGTTACAACCACTTACCCACCCACTCACCAAAAACGAAACATATTTGACAACGACATATAGAAATCAAAGACCAAAGCGAATATATATATATATATATATATATATATATATATATATATATTCGTAGGTTAACCTTTTGGCCTATGTTAAAAAGGCAGTACATAACCTTTCCAAGCTAAAGAGAGACAGCAACTTTACTGATACAATGGAATGGGGCTGGTAACCGATTCCACAGGCATCTGTCTACACATGCTTTCAGTAGATTTGATCACTCACCCACCAAAAACACCCTTGAACTGGGTGGAGAAGAGTGAGACAAAAAAAAAAAAGACTCTCTCTAGTTAACCCTGTCTTTCTACCAATGGCACGTATAGAAGGAGAGGTCAGAAGAGGAAAGGGTTAAGGCAGGTCCTTAATCCTGAAATAAATCAAACAGACTGTGGTAAGCTTGCAATGTCAATGTTATCTAGGATTTAATTAGTATTATTCACTAATAGGTCAGACGAACGTAGTCCTTCATCTCAAAAGTATCATTAACTTCCCTCACAGGTAACTAATTCTGAAGAAAAGTGGGCATGCAACTGAGCAATCATGAGGGGGTCAGTTACAAATTAAATTAATTAACATATTTATGTTACTCTGTGATTTATTCACATATCCGTTGAGCTCTGCCTGACATATAATGAATGTTTTGATGTTGGAACATAGAGTTCAATATTCCCCCCCAAAAAAAAAAAAAAAAAAAGCAATAAATAAATTAATTTTGATTTCCTATCAACAAAACAAAATAAAATGGTCATTAATTATGGGTTTCTATCTAAGAGCTCTTAAGATATGCACCCCCACCTCTAATATAGAAGTGAAGAAAATATATAAAAAAAAAATTTAAACTTCTTTACTAACCTCATTTAATTCAAACACAAAAATAATAAGTTTATAATTCTATCAAGTACTTACTGAACTTAAAAAACTAAACTATTCCACTTAAAATCTTTTAACTATTCCACTGAAACAAAGGGTGAGATAATGACCAAAGTGAAAATGTTGATGTGGCTTGTTTTCTTTTTGGTTTCTTCAGGTTGGAATGGAAGACACAACTGTGTAAAGAAAATGCATTAAGGTTTTTGAATAAGAGAGACTATATATATATATATATAGAGAGAGAGAGAGAGATATGATAGAAAAAAGACATTGTGGATAATGTCATTTTTGGTCATGCATGAGACACTCACAATTTTAAGCAGGCTTTCATCACATATCGGCAAGGAAATCTAATACTAATAGAAGGGCATGTTTCAGGGACTGGCTGTCTGCCATTGAATAATGGTTAACAGGTTAATCCTACAAGCTGTTGTTAGTATCTTTGATTCTCAGTGCATGCCAAAATGTGATAAAAAGACAAGTTGGCACTTTATTGGAATGTTCACCCTCTTCAATCATTACCATGATTATACAACTATCTCTGCCCCATAATAGTTTTTTTACATTTAGTGTATGAAATGTATGTGCAAATGCAACAACTATTATGGAACAATGATAGTATTTTTTTTTTTTTAATTAGGAGCCTAAAATAAGAGGTAATGTTTTGCATTAATCAATATGTATAATTATTATCCTTTGTTAGTCTCAGATTAATGAGTCTGTTAATGAAGCACAATAATTGATAATATTTTCCATAGAGTTTATATATTTTTTCCTTCTTTTTTGACCCAGACACAAAATCATTAACCAGGGAAATACTTATTCAGTTTCTGTGTTGGTGGGGGAAAACACATTGTCAAAGAGAAGAGTCTGGTCTAATGAGGTCATGCCTTGAAAATGAAGGGCTCCTTATAAGTTAGGGAGAGTAACAGCTATTCCTTAAGAATTTCATTTCACTTGTGTCAATATCATTTGCAAGCAGAGTTCTTTAATAGCGTTTGCAAAAGAGAATAAAAGGAAAATATTTTGTGTGTGTTTCAGCTGGGTGTGGGAATATCTTTGCACCAGTTTAAAGTATAGAATAAGGTTAGGAAAAAAAAAAAAAAAAAAAAATGAAGTCCTGCCATTTTCAACAATAAATGAAAGAAATTAGTGAAAGAATAAAAGTATAACTCTTCAAAACAATGCAATCTTGCTTTTAGATAACTTACTCTTATAGAATTAATGTCATGTTTATAGTTTTACCAGCAACATCATAAATATGTGACAAATCAATTTTGGATAATACAGGTTGAATGAAACATCATTTGAAATTTATTCATAAGGCATCAACTTTCAGTTGTAGAAAAGTCAAACAATTCCAATCATAAATTTACTCAACTACAAAAATTTATCACCTTCACATAACAAATAAATAATACTAATTAAAACAAAACAAAAATTTTATTTACAGAAGTTTGCCAAACTAAAATATATAGATTCTAGAATTGCTTACTTTGAAAATTCTATCCTGTTTTATGGTAAATAAACTAAACACAAACTGACCGAAATATTAATAATTGATTTCACTTCAGTAAACTTATACAAACTCAATTGGATGTTTTAAAAGACAAATATTTGTTCCTTTGATATAGTTAAGTTTACAAGTGTAGAAACTAAAAGTATATTTTTATGAATTTTTTTATTTAGATGCAGTCTTATTGTTTTTTTTATGATTTATTTATTTTCCCCCCGATCTAATTAGGCATATTGAATGTGACAATTAAGTTTCTTTTAATAGTTTCATTAGAAAAAATTAGATTCTGATAAGGACAACTTCTCTAATTGTTTGAGAAAGGAAGGCAAAATTTTATGTATGCAATTTTCTGTTCCTGACAAGTTAGGATCAAAAATTAAATTAAAAATGTATGAACAGCTGATGTAATGATAGAAACAAATGGTATATGTATTTATAACCATTCATTCTTGAGAAATTGACCCGTCTGATGCTTCTTGCCATAAGAAACAATATCTCATATATGCTTATTTTTACCAAGGACATGTGGGTGGTATAATGAATATCCACATAGAAAGTGGAATTGGTGAACTGAGTTTCTAGGCTAGTCTTTTGTGTTCACTTTTGTACTAATACACTTAGTAAAGGCAGGAATCTGTCTCTTCTAACCCACAGCTATAATAACAGAGCTCTCTTATAGGCCAGTTTAAGAAGAAGGCCTTCTTTGCATTTCCAAACAATGGAGAAAGCAATGGGAAGTTGCTCCACTACCTTTCTGAAGAATGTATGGCAATCCACATATGCAATAATCACTTCATTTTTTTTTTCTTCTCATATGTTCTAAAGAGACATGGCATTAAAAAAATAATTTACCAAGTGTTGAACACTAAAATTTAAAAATGATGTAGTCTATTAGTAGACACAACTTCATCTGACAGTATAAGTGCTTTAGGGCTTCTGGTCAACAAAGAAAGTATTTAAACAGTAAAAATGTA